GGCCATAGGCGCCGGCGCCAAAATACCTCAAATCACCGGCGCCTGTACCGCGGGCGCCAAGAGATTTTCGGCCAAGCGGATGTGTTATTCGTATTCAGGAGGTTAAACTACCCCAGGAGACAACATTCGAGCAAGTCTGTCCACGGAGAAAAGCTCGGTCAAAAACTGGCTCGATTCCGGATGATTGGGGCAGATAGGGTAAATGATTGCCCAAGGAATGTTCGACATGGAATCTTCCACAATGGCTCCTTTCGTTCAGAAACATTCTTTGGTGGCATTCTCGAGCGCAAGAGTTATGAAATGTTTTTTAATGCACAGAGACCATTGTAGAAAAAAAATTCAAAACAGAAAACGCATTAAGGATCCAAACCCTTGACAATGTGACCGTGTAAGGTGTGTCTGTGTCCTTTCCTTGTAAGGGTGATCCTCAAGAAAGGGAAGGACCACTACGGTAGGCAACCACAACCAACCGTAGAGTTCTTCCCTTTCTCTCAATGTCTTGTTTCGTCGTAGTTTTCTGAGTGCCCCAGCGCACCGGTTCTGTACTGGAGGCGCCTGTGACGCGGGCGCTGGGCAGTTTTATATCAAGCGGATGTCATATTCGGGTTCATTAGGTCGAACTTCCTTCAGGATAAGTTTAGCGAATGTAACACGTTCGCGGCGGCGCCGTTTCGTCAAAAACTCCCGTTTGTCGAGCGACGCGTTCGCGGCGGGCGACACTTAGGCAGTCATCCCGTTCATGGTTGCGCGCTCGCGACGGAACCATAAACGCCTAAAAATTCACGAAAGCCGTTTTTCGCCATTCTTTTTACATTTTCCCTTCTACAAGTTTTATCTAAGTTTCGGTAAATGAACTAGCTTTCTTGCCCTTTTTGATGTTCACTGGTACCGCACAAAGAAGATGTAGACTTTGATTCTTGTGAAAGTTCTTAGTTCCTCTTGTAAAAACCACTACTGCCTCACCTGGTTTCAAAAAATACACGAGAAATGTTCTTAGTATTACTTGTATATTATTTGTTTTATGATTTGTTCATAATTGCCAGTGAAAAGAAGAAAAAAACATCAAAAAACGAGCGAAGAGGCGCGTGTACTCCCAAGAATGCACGATTCGCCTAAAGAGGAAAGTTTTTGAGTATTTTTACACGCCTCTTCTAATGTGTGGATATTATTTCTCTATTGTTTGATTATTATTTATATCCAGCTGTTAGGAAAAGAAAATAAAATACAAAAAACCAGCGAATAGGCGTGTACTCCCGGGAGTACACGATTCGCCGAAAGCGGAGTTTTTTCGTGTACTCCCGGCGGCGTGTACTCCCGGGAGTACACGCCGCCGCGAGTGTTAAAGATTTGGAGAGTCTTGGCGTCGACGCCTGTGGCGGAGCGTCAGGCGTTCTCGGGCGAAGTGGGAGCGATATTTGTGAGTTTGGAAGGTCAAACTACCCATACAAACAAATTTTCAGCTACGTCCCCCCCCCCTTACTAGGGAAGGTCGTCAGGTCGAAGTGGCCATTTGTAATGAGATGTAGCTCACTAGACGTGGTTTTGGACGCTGATCTCGAATCTGCCTTCGAAATTTGCAGAACGATTCTCTGAACGGAATTATGAAGGTTTGTTAGAATTAAAATGAAGGAAACAGAGTCGAGCGCGGTTGCCGGCCAATTCGCATGAATAGCCGGGAAGCACCATCACGATCAACGGCGGCATGGTGTAGTGGCAATGGTCTTGCTTCGCGGGTATGCTATGAAGGGTTCGGATTTCTGGAGGGGAACTTGTTTTGCATTTTGTGGGGAATGTCTCTTTTAAGTCTAGAAAACACTCAAACGCCAAATGGGTGCCATATTCGTGTTCAGGGAGCAAAACTACCCTTGGGGACAGGTTTCTAGCCAGATGTGAGGTTTTGACCTAACTTTGAAAAGTCGAATGATGGTCACCAATAGTTCCAGGGCCAGTCTCTTGTCGATTGCTTGTCTTTGGACGGAATTTGCTTTTAGATACCAGGAAAACTGGAGCAGTAACAACATGAATGCGTAAGAAGTGGCAAG